CAAAGGATCTTCGTAGAGGCGAGGTGTGGTAGGTGGAGCGTTGCAGCGTTGTAGAAGCGGAGTGCGGGCCTTTGCATCCACTGCGTATTTGTGGATGAGTACGCGTAGTCAATTCGTTCCTAATGCAATCACCTCGGCATGTACAATCAGTTCGTCCTTTGGTTTAATCACCTCGTCCGGTACGTGGCTTGGGCCACGGGTGTGGACACGTGGCGCGCGAGGTGGGGGGTCTGACACAGGCCCGTAACATGACTTATTGAAAATTATTTTTAAACTCAATTTTAAATATACATTCTTCGAATAAAATAACTAAATACGTAATTTCTTAATTTTTCTTCATGTTTTTTAACATGCGATCATCGCAATATATGTAAACACTTTATGCTTACTGCAAACGACTTCTCTTGCATTTAAAAATAGGAAAATTAGCACTCGAGAAACCAACTTATGGTTGTTGGCAAACAGTTCCTCAATATGTCATGAGCTCACACAAATACTATCCATAGATGTCATAAGTATACAAGTCAAAAGGTCGTACTGGTTATATTGTTCTTAGCTTTCCCAAAGAATATCTCGATACTAGATCATAAGTTATCCATGTTGATTCAAATATCCTAGTGACCTTGTAATATACTTTGAGTTCGTGTATATATTTTAATTAACTCCTATATTAAGTAACTATAGCATTCAACCATGATGAGATTAATCATATATCTTGATATTGTTACATAAGTGTGCGCGCCCACACACACACACACAGAGCTATTCCCACTCGGTAAGCTTGAAAATAGGGAATCATTCACTTAGCCTATCCCTTCAATAAAAATTCAAACTGACGCAACTATCTCACTCTCCAACTCCTAGCTCTAGGAACAAGAGTTAATGGGGAGTGCATTCAACCACATTCAACTTCTAACATCTGGGCAATATGCAATATTATTGTTATCCCAATAGTCTTGATATTCTCAGTATTCTGCTATCTATGATTTCCTTCTCTTGTTGTTGCAGAAAGACAAAATTAAGACTACAGGGAAGAATTTTTGTGCTATCAACCAAGGAGTGCTTGGTAGGATGTCGTGGGTGCTTACCTGGAAGGATCTTCCAACCCGATCGAGAAACTTGTCGACATGAGGGGTCCGAAGGCGCTGCCGAAAGCTAGGTCATGTTTTTCGTCTCTTGCTTTTGAAGTGGATTCACTTAATCCCCCTTTCTCTTTCTTGGCCACACATCTTTTCAACTAAGGAATGGAAAATCTTTTTCCCATTACATGAATCTAATTTTATTTCATTCGGGAAAAGTCATATTTTTCTCAATAATGTCTTTGTCATTTGATCCAATATCTTTCTATTAGATAGGAAACAGATTTTGATAAATACTGATAACTCTCAAATAGGGTATTAAAATGGAAGGATTCATTAGATATTGAACTACTAGTTCAAAGCCATCTCTGACTACTAATTTACAATTCAAAGTGCTTTTCATATTTATTCTTGATAAACCAGCGTTTATCTATAGATATAGGAGGATCTGTTTGGAAAGTAAGAAGCCCCTTTGACATCTCTTCATCTGCAAATAATTCTTGATGTGAAAACACACAGCCAGGGGGTTGATCTTTGAATAAGAAAAAGAGCGGATTTGCAAGGTTCCAAATAAATTGGCTTATTCGAAAAATGTCTTGTTTTTTGGAAGATCAATCTTGTGTCTGGTACTGCATGATTCCACTTTGCAAGAACTTCGGATCATTCTCTTGAAACTCAAACTCTTCATCATAAATGATCCGTTGACCCGAAATGACCTGGACCAATAGGGAAATCTCAATTCATTAGGCCTTTTGATATAATTAAATAAAAAGCCCCAAGGACACCATATTCTAGGAGCCCAAACTATGTGATTAAATAAATTTCCCTCTATCTGCTATGGGTCAAGGGCTCTTTCTCCCTCTCCTTCTTCAATCTCCGATTCGTATTTTTCATAGAGAAATCTGATTAAAGATAGAACAAAATCCGTTTTGCATCATATCTAAGGGATTCATAAGTTCGGGCTAAAGAAGCAATGCCACTCAACATTATCAAACTGACTGCAATCTTTTTTTGTTCGTGAAGATCCCACCAAAGCGTCTTCTAATTCTAATAGGCCATGAGCTACATCAAAATCATTCTCAACATGTCCATAAGAAGTGATCCCATTTTTTCATCAAGTCCGAGTAGAGACCAAAGATCTTGAGCGATCGATCCGACAGAACAACTCAACATTTTTCGTTCTTGCAGCCTGCTCTTATTCTCGTGATCTTTTAGCGACATCATCAACTACTTCTTTGTCATAAGAAAGAGAGGAAGTTGATGAACTCTCCATCGCTGGAGCTTGCCTCTATTTGTTAAAAAACAACCTCACTTGTATGGTTTTTCCTTCACGTGATGTTAACTTCTTCTTTCGCAACTTCATAAGTTATTACATTTTAGGAGTAGAGGGATCGGGAACATCTTTCTCCATTTCTGGCTCAACCCTAGTATCTGTAAGCAAGACAAGCATGTCTAAGGACCAATTTGTAATCATTATCATGATATTATTAAGCTAAGTTGTTCGTTGGGTATAGCTGTCAAGAACTCAGGGATTGATTGATGGTGCCACCATAGATTCCCTTCGGTGGGAGAAGTCCCCAAAGTCAAGTTTTCTTCTTTAAGACTTGACACTGTAGAAAGTCTTCTTACTAAGCTAAGGCTGGATTCTCTTTTTCTGTCCTACCTAGAACCTCTATCTCGATGCCATCAAGGACCTCTTGTAGAACGTCCACATGCTCTTCAGTTACATGAGTTGCTTGTGCACTCAAGATTCGATTGTCGCTTCATCCACAACAGGTTGCTCATCAAGGATTGGCCCCCTATCCACTTCCATGGCTGTAACTGCCTCATCCATTGTATTCTTCTCTATTTCGAAATATATTACACTTATTCGTGCATTTTCATCGTTTTATTCCATTTATTATTTCCAATGTCATAATCCAATATAACATCATTTTAAACGTACACTAGTAGTAGTGGGTTTTGTTGGTGGTGTTTGTAGTTGGCTGTGTTGGTGAGGTGGCGATGCTGGTGAAGTGGTGGTGGTGGTGGTGGGTGGTAGTGAGATATGAAGGAAAGAAAAGTATTTGTGGCTAATTATTTGGTTGATTGTAAGCAATAAATTACTTAATTTGCGACCAATAAATAATATATGAGTGGTGGAATCTATAATTTGTGACCAATAAATAATATCTTTCTATATAAAAAAAGTGCATATTTAACGGAATTTGTTGGTTTAACGGAAAAACTAACGGAATTTGTTGTTTTAACGGATTATGTAACGGAATTTCTTGTTTTAAACAGGCAGCTGCACCTTCTTTCAGTATTTTTATCATAACTTTGTATTTCGAT